AATGCTTTCTGAGCAAATTGTGTCTACTTGCCTGCAGAGGTAAGATAACAGATATATAATTCTATAATGCAGTGAACAGAGAACCTCTAAACATATATATTAAAGCGTGTTGACATCATGACGCCCTAGCATCATGATTTTCAGTTTACATTTGATCATAATATTTCACCCTCTCTGTCAAAAATTAAAATATACTGTAAAATGTACAGTAAAAATACAAGGAAAAAAATTGACTCCATTAAAGTCAGTGGTGAAACTCCTGTTGACTTCAGTAGGTACAGGATTTCTACCCTAATTTCAATATAAATATCAGCTGTTTTATCCACATCACTGTTACTTATGTATGAGGAAATAATTTGTAATGCATTCTTTCACACAGCATTTTGTGGGTTTTTTGTTATGGTGTCCACTATGCTATTCTGTGTTCTAAGTGAAATAAAGGTCCGTTAGCTAAAATTACTTAAACATCAGAAAAGGTAATCCTTGTAGACTTGAAAACAAATATAGACTTTTTCTTTTTTATGCGTCATATAAAACAAAGCAGTAAGTGAAGGAAGTAGTATCATAATTATGTAAAGCCACCAATTTCACATCCAATTGTACAAAATTAGTGTTGATTTTTGTACAGTTCTGTTCTGAGCTCAGAGTTCATAGTGGGATTCTCCTCTTGCAGAGTCTTGACTGAAAGTAGACTCTGCTATTTTTTGCATTTACTGACAGAAACACCTTCTGCAGCCAAGAAGATATCACCAGGTTCTCTCTTTCAGTGGCATGCATTCCACCTTTGTCTCCCTGTACAGCGTATGTGGATATATGCTGTGCGTCTGCAAATAATTTATACTTTCACTTCCATAATCTCAACTCCTGCAGGAGTGGGAGCAACAGGGAGGAAAAATTAAATCATAATCACGTAAGTAAATTATTGGTGACACCTAAAAGCAGTTACAAACTGCCTTATCATTTCAATTGAATGGAGGACTCAGCTGGATTGCATCTGCTTTAGTCAAGCAGTACCAATCAGGAAGTTATTACACCAGCAAACTCCATAAATCTTCATTGACTAACAATGATGAGGAATTTCCTGCGACTTCCTCTAATTGATCCTTACCCTGGACTCCTTACAACCTCTTGACGTGAAGCACAGGGCTACAGATGTGTAAGATAAACATTGCTTTGGTTGCTCATTTCCCATTCCTTGGAAATCAATCATCCGGTTGGTATCTCTGTTAATGTTTATGTACAGGTAGAATACAATCTATGCACAAAGGATTAATAGCTGTTCTTTCCATGAGATCCCTGATACCTTTATACTGCAGATCAATACATGCTTCAAAAAAAGCTTTTATAGAGAGATTGCAAAGCTACCTTCTACATATTACCATAAGGTAGATAAAAAGCAGTAACACATTACTTCAGGGTCGGATGCTTGCCATTTGAAAAGGACTACGTAACTGCAGAACAACGAAATGTAGTGCTACTCTTTCTCATCGGTTCATATCGCATTCTAGAAACATTTGGTGCATTCTGCTGTAGGAATTTGTTCAGCTTTCTTAGGATAGCCTTGAATAGCATGAAATTAGAGATCAGCATACAATGAGACAAAGCATCCTACCTCCTATTGATGGCATACAGCTAAAGAATGCCCTGCTTGCCCCTTGCTCACAACCCAGAGTTGTTAATACAGTATCTAAAGAATACATATCACTCAAAGGGTTTAGTTTGTTTACCAACTATGCACTTTCAAAGGCCCTTTACTAGGGACAAGTAATTCCCAACTCTCGTAGTGTAGCCTTATGCATAATGTATAAGGTTATAGAAAATGTGTATTCATGAGAGTTGTTTGGCTTTTGTCAAAAAGAACTGTGAAAAATTATGATGGAACAATTTTCATTTCTGCCACAATTGTTTTTATAGTGTGTGCATGACGAGGGATTGAGGGGTTTAGAGTTTTGTCTGCTGCAGATGTTGCAGAACTGAGAGGGGCTGTGGTACTCCTTATTTGCTACTTTGTTGCTGACAGTGACAGGAGACCTATAGGAAATACTTCTCCAGACATTAAATATGATGAGTGAATCCCCAGTCTTACGTTTTATTGCATTAGAAGAGCAGCAGCATCAGGAATTTGGGGATGTCCATAAACAAACAAGTTATACATCCAGAGTGGGGCTGTGAGAATGAGCATTGAGTTCCAACACATCAGCTCCATACAAGGACCATAAAAATTATTTGTAATGATAATGAGAGCTGACAATCTAGGTAGAACAGAATAAAGCTTATAAAAGGAGCATCTTGTTTGATACATCTTTTCTTTAATTGCTTTCAACATGTGCTAGCTCCTACACACTACTCTGCGGCTCCCTTGAGCTAAGCCTTCTATCTGATGCTTTATGTGCTACCTAGGAAAGTCCATATTTTTATAGTCAGAGTCATTTCTGCCACTATTTGAAAGAGTAAAGAAAAACTCAGATCTAGAACACATTAGAATTCCCAGTTGCAATTAGTGAGACAGGGAGTTAATTTTTTTTTCAGGTAGTTCAATTATTTTTTTTGAGGGATTAGCTGGCCCTAGAGAATGGCAACAGCACAGGGAACCTTTTATCTCTGGTCATTGATTAAGCTGCAGAAACACCGCAAGGTCTGTGAACTGAACCATTCAGGTTCATTTGCAGAGACTGAAAACTAAATACAATCCATGTATATTTGCTTAGAAGTTGGGGTGCTTTAAACTTAGATCTGAGAGAAACACCCCACTCTTCCTGTCCCAACACATGCCACAACCCTAGCACCTCAGGGTAACTTGTTTTCAGTATACATCATGTATATTTATTTGTATTTCAGCAGAATGAGTAGTAATCCCAGGCTCTAGTGCCCTTGGCAAATAATTAAAGATCAAATCCAATAAAGGCCAAATAAGAAACCTTTGTTCAAACAAAACAAAACAAAAAATCTAATCCATTAAACTTAAATCTCTCCTCTATAAAACTCAAGCATATAAGAAATGGCACCTCCTCAGAAACTTCCCTAAAACTTAGCTTCTCTCAAGCCCCTATTAAATCACAGCTTGCTCCTAAAAGTCAGGAAAAGGCCATCTCTGTCCAAGAGGGTGAAGAATAGAGATCCAAATGAGGTTCCCTTTATTTCAAAGCATCTTACCATCCCTTCATCTTTCAATATGCTAAAAAAAATAGCAGACTAAGCCCCCTCCACTAATATTATGGTTTGGGGAAGGGATGTGCTCTTATCTGAACAAATACAAAGCCATCTAGCATCTTATCCTTGGACTCCAGCTCACACAGTGGATAGCTAATGCAGATCCCAAAACACTGAGATCATGTGCCAGTGATGAAATACACCAGGCACATCTACATGAGAACCTAACGGCGCAGTAACCACATAACACTGTTCAGTAGCGCATCACAGCACAAGCTGTGCTAATACGCTGCTGCATAGCATTAGGCCACTGCACAGTAGCATCACTAAAAAGGCATTTGTCATTGCAACTGCACGGTAACTCCATTTACTGTGCATTTATTTTGTAGTTGATTATACGAGTATGAAATAAATGCGCAGTAGCCACTGCACAGTAGTATCTTGTGTAGATGTACCCACTACATAACAAAGTGTGCTCTATCAGTTGAAGGCAACCCCTTCTAGCCCACATTGAAAGGGACTCATCTTGCAATAAAAGTACATTCAACAGTGAGGCCTGCACCAGTGAAAAA